AGGGTTTCAGTATCTCTTCAAAGGCATCTCACCATCCAGGGCCCACCTTCTACAGGTTCTACCACTTCTGGATAGTTCCATCAACCAAAGACCAAAGTTTTAGAGATATTTAATTTCTTAAACAACACACACACAAATGCATATGCACACACACACACACACAGAGAGAGAGAGAGAGAGAGAGAGAGAGAGAGAGAGAGAGAGAGAGACCCTAACTCTTAAATATACTTACCCAAATTTTTGAGATATTTACCCTAAGCTAAGACAGAACAAACAGCTCAAGACTAGTAGAAATTTCTGTCTCCAACACCCCTTCAATTCCTCCCTTACAGAACTGGTTATCAGAGCATCAACATTGTGAAATCCAGCAAGGAGGTGGGGTGGGGGCAGGCACAGGGACCCAGACACAGGAAGTAAGGTAGGAGAGAAGCAAGGAAACCATGGGAACTTAGAAGCAATGGGGCAAAACGCTCCAGACAGCAGCAGTGCTGAATGCTGCTTTAATGTGCTGAAAGTGACCAGTGAACGTGGAGATCAGACAGAGAGGCATTGCAGAGGAGGCATGGTAATGGAAGTCCAATCAAAACACACTGAACAGATTGCAAAGAGAAAAAATGGAGACGGCATGTGCAGATAAATTTGTCAAGGGGTCCTGTCAGGAATGAGATGCTAGAAGGAAGTACAAGATAAGGGAAAGTTTATTTCAATCCTTGGAGCTCAGGGAACCCCACTGAAGAGGGCACAGGAAGGATGTAAGAACCAGCAGTGTCGGAGGAGACCAGGAAAATGAGGCTTTCTTGTAAAAGAAAAAACAATTAATCTGCTTTTCCTCCCAGCTTTGGGAATGATGAGTCTAAGACTAATTATTTATTATTAAATGCCTAGGCCATAAGCTTTTGACTAGCTTGTAACTTACCGTTCTAACCCATTCAAACTCTTCTATGTCTTCCCTCTGGTTAGTTACCACTCCTTCAGTCCCAGCTTGCTTCTTCCTTTGAGTCTCCTGAGCATCTCTCTCAAATCTCTCCTGCATCTCCTTTCATTCTCTCATTTCCCAGAATCCTCTCTTCCTGCCAGTGTCCCATTTCCTATCTCCTGCCCCAGCTCATTGGCCATAGGATTTTTTTTTAAATCAACAAATGTTGCTTATAAGAGATTCTCTCTACACCCAAGGCACCAACTAAGCAAGGCCTGTCTCAGCTCACAGAGACTGAAGCACTAAGCACAGGGCCTACCTGGGTCTACAATCAAGTCCTCTGTGTATTTACTGTAGTTATTAGCTTGCTATTTTTATAGGCCTCTTGTCTATGAGAACAAGTGCGTCTCTGACTCTTGTGCCTGCTCTTGGTTGGGCCTTGTTTCCTCCTTGTGTGGTTATGCCCAATTTGATGATAATTTTTGCTTCATGTTATTATATTTTATTTTGTCCTGTTTGGTTATTATCTCTTAGCGCCTTGTTCTTTTCTAGTGAGAGACAGGAAGGGAGTGGATTGAGAGGGCATAGGATGGGGGGAGAGGAACCTGGAGGAGTAGACAGAGGGAAAACTTTAATCAGAATGCATTATATGAAAAAATCTTTGTTTTTCAGTAAAATGAAAAAAGTTACATTGTTATTCAGATGGGAAGAATCTAATAGTAAGAGAAGATAGATTGACTAAGAAAATGACAGAAGAAAGCATAATTTCAGATTCTCAGTTGCTGGGAGAAAAAAGCCTTTGATAAAAACAAATATACCTTTAAAATATATATAAACAAAGACAGAACACAAGAGAAAGAAGCCAGTGAGGTGGAGATTAAGTGTCAGGAAAGTGAGAAACTGCCAGTTTTCAGTTCTCTTAAATTTTTGTCTCTAGCAAACATCTCTCTTCTAGACTAATGTTGGAGAAAGACCCCTTGAAACGTATTTCTCCCTTCTTTTTGTCGAAGAAAAATCTAAAGTAGGGAGGATCACTTATAATCAGAAATGCACTGCAACAGTAGGTATGAGAGCTGAACTGAGCTTTGATTTGTGGAAAAGTGGAGTAAATGTAGGACTTAGGGAGGGCTCATTGGCTGAAGAGAGTTGGGAAAACGAAAAACTAGAAAAGGCTAGTCAATATAAACATAGTTAGGCAGCTGTGTCTGCTAACAGGCAATTACAAAAGTCAGAATTCTGTCTTCCAACACCCATTTCAGAAAATGGTTCTCAGAACCTTGAAAAAGATGCTTCTGAGTTGCAAGAGATACATATGCACCCCAAAGGGACAAAGGAATGATTAACAAATGCAAGCAGTTTGGGAGTTATGTGAGGTATGTGTGTGGCATAGGGTGTGGCGGTGTATTCGTGGTTGTGTACTCCTGGACAGTGTGCACTTGGGAGACCAGAGGTCAATGTCAGGGGCCTCTCCATTGCTATTACATTTTTATTTTCTTGGGGAAGGGTTTCTCACTTGTCCTGTCCAGCAGGGCATTAAACAGGGTCCAGGGAGATCACCTAAGAGAGAATGAAGAAAAACGGGCGAACACAAAGGAACACGGCTTGTCTTTAGGCTGATCAAACCGTGATTTTTACTTTTTTACACACAGGTTATATACACAAAAAGGCAGGATGTGGGGAAGGGGATGACACTGGAGTGTAGGTGTCCAGGGAGGAGTACAGATATCTTCCAGAACAGAGTGTCAGCTGGGTGAAGGTTCAGGGGACAGATCACTATGACTCCGCCTATGATTCACTTGTCCTTATCTAAGTTGGTACTATCCACCAAGGCTACCTCTCTACAAGGTCTATGTATTCAGCCTGGCAATTTTCCACCAAAGCTGTTTGTTTACAGTAGCTTCTAGGCATCTGTTTCAGTGTTTTTCCACAGAGACCCAAGACTTTGTGTTAGCATGCATGTATGTCAGGCCTATTGCTGATTTTAGGCCTATGGCTGATTTTAGGCCTTCAGTGTATAAGCAGGGCTGCCCCTGACAGTCACTGAGTCCAGCACTCACCAGACATGCTAACCAGTAAGTTACTTTCTCAGACTCCCCAATGTGCTCCGGTTACAGGCTGGATCTGCCATGCTTGATTTTTTTTTTCTCACATGGATGCACAGATGCTCACCGGATGCATACTCAGATTTCCGTCCATATGTGGCAGATACTTTGCTGGCAGCTATCTCCCCAGCTCCGCAAGGTTTCCAGCCTGTGTGGATAGTGGACTAGAACAACAATAAGATCTCTTAGCAGCTTTCAACAGGTTCTAAAAGGGGTTTAGGGCCATCCGGGGTAACCGTTAGATATAACACCAGCGCTTTAAGGCCCCTAATATGGAAAGGGTATGAGATGGAAGGCCACAGTTTCTGTAAGCTAAGATCAAGGCCTACTTAAGAGGACTCAGAAGAACCTGGATAGAATTTGGCCAAGGAGAAGCGCTGTCACTCTCAACCTCCCGGGACCATATCTTTCCTCAGAGTTTAACAGAAAGAAAAGTTATATTATGGTCTATTTTTCCTTACTTTAGTCTCCCAAATTAAGTTCTCTCCTCTGACTCCATAGCATCTACTATACAATTTCTCATACAGAAATTTTTCAGATGGTACCTTAGCCATTCTCATAATTTTATTTCATTGTGCACATGTGCATACAAATAATTTCCCAAGAACCATTGAGCCAGTTGCAGTATCTGTGCAGCACTGGGACGGATACAAGGAAGAGACTCACCGACACAGGGTATTCAGGTCTCACAGTTGCAACCTCTCATCTTCCCACCACATTCTGACATTGATGAAAGACAGCTAAAAAGCACTGATACTTCCACCGCCACTGTTTTGTTTTTTTTTCAATCCTGCAGAACCTGATTCTTAAGTCAACGCTAGGAGTGTTTCAATACACACACACACACACACACACACACAACTTAGAGGCTTGTTATCTGAGAGTCCCTTAAAGGTAAGCAATATCCAGCTCATTCTCAGGGTATTGAGAAATCATAACCCTTTGAAACACGAGTCATAGTAAGTAGGTAGGACAGACTTAATACAAAAGATAATAAGTATTGTTGAAGGTCAGAACCTCTCTTTACTGCTAGTGGGAGTTAAATGGTGCAGATACTTTGAAAGCACTGTAGCCGACTTTCAGAGTTCACAGATGGAGTTATTAAGACAGTCTAGCAACTCCACTCTTTGATTTCAACTTTACTCAACAGAAATGAAAGCATGCTCACACAAAAACGGGTACATGAATGCTTATAGCTGCATTATTCTTAATAGCCAAGAGGTGGAAACACTGACATGTCTGGCAAGTGTTGAATATATTAATGGAAATGCAGTGTGTAATACAATGGAATACACTTGAGTGATAAAAAGGAATAAAATGTTGACTTGTGCTTTACCTCAGAGGAACCTTGGAAGCATTGTGCTAAATGAAATAAAGACCACATATTGTAAGGATGTTTTTATTCCAAATGTCCAGGCTAGGCAAATTCACAGACATAAAGTTAAGTAGTGCTTTCTAGGGCAAAGGTTTGTGGAGATGCAGTAGCGATTGCTAAAATGTAAAAGTTTCTTTTTGGGATTTTAAAAATATCCCAACACTGTGGTAATAGTTGCAACCTAACTGTGAACATTACTAAGAACCATTGACTGCTGTACCATACATGGGCGAGAAAAAAAAATCCCACCTATTATTTATTTCAAAGACTGAAACTTGGGATTAAACATCCAAAACGTTGTTATTTCAAATCCCCGCCGCCAACGAACTGGGGGGCTCCGGGGTAGGTCTCGGCTTTCACGTGTGAGGTATCCTCGCCGCAGCAGCGCTGCAGAGGTTAGTCAGGGCAGTGTAGGACGCGGCTCCCGCGGCCTCAGGTCACTGCGCGCCCCTCCTCCGGCCTGAGTCACGGCGTCGCCGGAGTCCCCACGCGAGGATGCTGCGGTGAGCGCGGTCCGGACGCCGCGGGCCTTGGGGCGCAGCGTGGGGCTCTCGGCTGCCCGCCCGCCCGCCCGGCGGCGCCGCTCGGGACTGCTCGGGACAGTCGGCGGCCTGCGCGCCCCAGGCCTCCATGGCGTTCACCCGGAAGAGGCAGCGCGAGCAGCAGCTGCAGCTCTACTCCAAGGAGAGGTGCGCGGGGCGGGAGGCCGGGCCGGGCGGCAGCCAGGAGCTCTCCTGCAGGCGGCGGCCGACTCCTGGGCCGCAGAGCCGCGGGTGGGCCCGGCTAGCCGGGGGAGCTCGGGACGCGAAGGCAGGGCCGTCCCCGCGCCCACCCGCCGGCACGCCGTCCCAGCCGGCGTCTCCCCGCCGACCCTCCGCGCCCCGCAGCCGGCCTGCGTGGGAGGCTGTTGGCGAAGCGCGTGCGGCTGGGCGGTCGCGGTCAGCCGCGGCCCAGGGAGGACGTGCTTAGCGCTCCGGCCTCCCTCAGATCCCGTCAGCTCACGGGAAAGCGCACTTCCGCCCCGTGTGTCCTTCCCAGGGCGTTTTTGTGACCCACACGCCTGCGGGTGATCCAGATGTGGTTCCAACGGGAATGCGGGCTACATTGGGTTTTTTGGAGATACGGGGCTTGCTTGTGGGAGCCGGGATCTGATGGTCACGTTGTCGCTCAGTGGATCCGGCAAAGCAGGTTATGCCAGGAAATGCAGGTGCAGCTTTTATTCTGGGTGGCTTCACCGAGTCTTCACCTGTAGCTATTACTCAACCCTCACTCTTCCCCCTCTTTAATCTGTGGTGGGCTGGCGAGGTGGTCCGTTCAGAAATTACCGTTTCCCACCCGATTTTAAATGGAATTTCTTTGTCTGGCTCCGTCGACTTGTTAAGACTTGTTGGTGCTCTGTGTTACATGGATGTGCATTCACATTAACATTTGAAATGCTTTAAATGCTTGGCCTGTCCTGTTCTAGGACTTACTCTTTTGTAACAGCCCTGTGACTTCAGTGATAAACTGCGAAATCGGGAAGGGGTGTTTTGTCTTAGATTCTGTCTTATTTTAATCGTTTTACACTGTTCTGTAATGTTCGGAGAACCCGCTGCCCTTATTATTTCCAGCAAATGCTGTTTTGTTTACATATTAGGCTCACGGTACTCCAAGGTAAAGAGTTCTTCCAGCCCAAGCGTTTATCAGCTGCCATCATCAACTGTTCCCTACACTCAGCACCAACAGCTGAATTCTACTTCCTGATCACCCCAAATTTTTATTTCTCTGCTTAATAGCTTTGCAATCTTAGGGTACTGTTCATAGATATCTGTTTGTATTAGAGGAACACTTCTGACTGAGATTTGAACATAAACCAAGCAGATTCTTTATAAATCATAGAGTTCATTTTTAAGAAAAGGAACTTTTAAAAGTTAACTTTGGAAAACCAACCTTACTGAGACCCAAATCTACCATTTCTGCTCATTTGTTTCTTGGCTTATCTATCATTTGGCAACACTGGCCACAAATGGACAAGATGATAAAGTTGACTGCTTTCAGCTATCTCAGAGAACTGTTCTTTCCTGGAGCTTGAGGCTAGCTTCAGAGATAACCAGAGGGCTCTCGGCTCCGTGTACTCACTGGCTCTTCTCATACTGAGTTAGGGATTTTAGATTTCTACAGCTATCAGACAATGACCCCAGAGAAAGAGAAACTGAAGTTAGCTTGTGTTTCTCTGATTGCTGATTCAGCTACAGTTAGACTAAGTTACATTTTCCAGAAGCACAAGAAGCTCCTGACTGGGAGATTCTGCCATAGTGATGACAGAAGAAAGACTGGAGAAAAGTCAGTATATTCTAGATGTTTAGTGAGCTGGAGGTGAACAGTGCTGGTATTGTATATGACATTTAAGAGGGCTGGAGAAAGAAATCTGGCTAGAAGTGTTAGGTACAATATGAGACTTTCAGTTAAATATTAATTTCAGATAATGTTTCAGCATGTGTCCAATGTAGATTTGGGTACATAGTTATACTAAAACTGCAGTACAGACTAAATATGTTGTTTATCTAAAATTCAACTTCCATCTGGACATCCTGTATAGTTACTGGCTAAACCACACAGCTTTGCACTCAGACATAGGTTTCAAATAACCATGCACTGGTGCTGTTTGCTGAAGTTTATAGAAAAAAAAAACAGCTTTAGTAGTTTTTAGGACTAGAGAGCAGATAGTTCAATTAAATACTCTTGTATCCTTACAATTATGTCAGGAGTCATATTAACTTTTACTGGTTATTTCAATCGTGACACCACGATTAGGTGTCAAGGAAAGCAAATGAAAAAAAAGTCAGGAGACAGTTCCGATATATTCTCTGAAATAGTTGGGCGTGGTGGAAATGCTCAGTGGGTAAGCAAAGGAGGATGTTCTACAAACTGCCACTGAAGATATTTCCACTTATGAATATTTCTGTGTAAGTTTTGTCACCTCAACTGCACTCATCTAAGGTGATGTAGGTGTTTAGATAGCTGAGATACCATGAGCCTTCAGAGAGAGAGAGGGAGAGGGGGAGGGGGGGGGAGCTGTATTCTGATCCTAAAATGTAATAGAATGTACAGCTTTGTGGTCTGTAAGCTGTCATTTCAGGCTCAAGCATTACTGATTCTTAAGTTTCTGTTGTATGCCTATGTGTCACAGGCATTCCAGAGACTTCCACTTTATTCTAAATAGTCCATGGATGTGAAGTTCCTTGGCTATGCTGATATTAAATTTCTTTTACTCAGCATATTTGCTTATCAATTGAGTTTGCATTTATTTACAATACTTTTTTTAGGATACTAAGTGCTTTGTTATTCTCCTGTGTAATCTACCATTTCTAATGTGGAACGTTCCGGTTTTTTATGCTCCTTTGTAGATTATGCCAGGTATTAGAAATGGAGATAAATTGCAGAACCAGTACTCAGTCAATAAGGAATGCTTGTGGAGCACAAAAATTGTGCCTTTAAAGAGATTGGCTCGTTCTTTTTTTTCCACATATAAATCATTGAGTGAGAAAGTAAGTGCTGCAGATATTTAGTTAACTGAGAATTTACATTGGCTTCATCAACAATGCTTAGTGGCCTATCTCCTTATTCTGTTATTATCTCAAATTAACTTATTCCAAAACAAGAATCTACCCATAAATAGAATTTGAGGCTTTTTTGCTGTATGATTTGCATCAGCTATGTCTTTTAAGTGTTATATAAGTAGCAATAGGCATTAAGGATTCAGTACTTAATTTTAGTTTCTTTCCCTCCATACCTCCCCCCTCCCATTCTTCTTTCTTTTATGAGATAGGGTCCCATGTAGTTCATCCCAGACTTAAATTATTCACCTCCTGCCCGCACTTCCCAAGAGCTGTGATTACAAGCATGCATCATACCCACGATTGTATTAATCAGGGAACAATATTTTCTTTTTTTGCTATTGTTGATACACTGGGGATCTAACTTGAGGCCTCATGCATGGTAGATAAATACTTTACCTCTGAGTTATATCTTTGGCCTGGTTTCTTCTAAATACCACTGTGGTCTCAATTTTTATCACCAGATTTTAGAAATTGTCCTAATATTTTAACTCAAAAGATTTTGAAAATTGGTGTTTCGTTTTGTTTCTTTTTTCTCCTAGTGCTGGGGATTGAATACAGTGACTTTCAGATGGTAGACAACTATTCTAGCCAGCCCTGTTACTTACTATTAATTTACATTTTATCAGGAACTTTGAATTGTTATCTTTTTCTTAAGTGAATCTTTTAGGAACATATAATAACCTCACTGTTTCTAGTAATATTTTTGGTCTGATATTAATGTACTGGGAGTTTTAGGTGATTTTCATTATACAAAATTTTCCACTCTTAATTATTTCTGTAACCTTGTTTTATATATGTTTCTTGTGAATAATGTATTATCTAAATTTTAAACTTAAAACCATTACATTTTATTCATTCATTTTGTGCATGTGTGTATGTGTGCATATATGTATGTGAGTGGAGGTCAGTTGCAAGAGTCAGTTTTCTGCTTCCACCATGTGGACCCAAGAGATGGAACAGGGTGTCAGGCGTGGCAGCAAATACTGGCTGTTTGCTGGCCCTTGTTGTTGCACTTGTTAGCAGTTCATTTTGAGTCTTTGTCTTAGGCAAAGTTCATTTAAATTATTATGACAGATTTATTTCTTGTATATTCTTTGACTATATTCCCTCCCCCAGCCCCTTTCCCTTTGGATTAAGTGAAGTCCCTATTTGTTTTTCTATTTTCCTGCAGAGTATGGAGTTCTATATTCTAATTTTATCTATGCTTTGGTGCTTATGCTTGACATTTTAATATGTAATTTAATATCATTCTCCCTACCTTGCTCTCAATCAATGCACAGGCCCTGAAATAATGACTCCTGTTGTTCCATACTAAATTATGGTTCACTGTTGTTGAGTTAAATCTACACATTAGGATTGCCTGATTAATAATTGCATAGTTTTATGTGCATACTTGCTACAGACTTTGATGGGTTTTCCTTCTTGCTTGTCATGTCTTCCTTATGGAAATTTTCATTCTTAGTAATATCTTGTAAACGTTCCTCTGAGCAGGATCTGATATAGGAAGCAACCATAGTTTCTGCATGTCTAAACATATCCTTATTTTGCCCTTGCTTTGAGAACAGTCTTGCTGGCGTGTATGGTTTCTGTAGCATTTCTAAACAACGGCAGATGGCCCGAGGATAGCCCGAGACTTGCTGGAGAAGCAATATAGGTCATGAAACCAGAGAAATGGTAGGAGATTGGCGTGCCCTGCTCTCCTCTCGACAGCATTGAGCTACTCAACTTTGCCACTTAAGATGGGGAGAAACTTGAACCCTGCAGAATGACCAGGAGGCTTTGCATTGTTCTTATCCCCACTGGTCTGACGGGGACTGGCTAAATCTGTAAGATCTAGCAGGATTTGAGGTATCCCTGTCTGTAGTTGAGGAAGTATGAGCACATTCCCTGGCATTGCTGGGAGCTAGTCCAAGCCAGAACTGATGGTCTTACACATAGCTGGATTCTGGGCAGCTTCGCCAGACGCCACTCTTTCATCAGTAACAGACCAGTACTGCTGTCATTGAACTGTTTATAAGTAGACTGTCTGCTCTGGAAGCTGTGGTGTTTGCTGCCATTTATCCAGTCCGGTTGATTTCCTTAGATTCAGG